TCACCACCTGCGACTGCACGTTGTAGGGGTGGTTGGCCTTGCAGCGGTAGACGTCTGTCTGCGACAGCCCCAGTTGTCCCACTCGGCGCCCAGCCTCTGCGCCAGCTGGTTGATCCGCTGGTCCGACGGGGAGCTGCTGAGGATGTGCGAGGGGATCCCAGGCACCTGCTCACCTTTAGGCAGCTCAGTGATGGCTTCTTCCCTTGCCTTCTCCAGCTTCTCCCTCACCCAGGGAAATTCTTGTAGAGAATCTAGAAAGGTATCGAATGCTTTAGGACCCCTGGAAGGCAGGATATCCAGCAGCAACATTGTTTTCCGGAGGCCGGTGGTTTGAGCTTTGATTTCTTGAACATGGTTTTCTGTTAAGATTCCTTCCTGGTAAAGGTACTGAAGAACCAATCCCTCCACCAGCACTTCTGCACCTAGCTCCAGGTGAAGGGAACGGAGCACTTGTTTGTCTCTGGCCTCCATTTCTCCGTCTGCAACCACGTATCTTTTCCTGATTTCTTTGATCATAATTTTAGAAAATCACAAATCCTCCCCTGGCACTTACAATCTAAAGAATAGACTCATTTCCATAATTAAAATTTCCTTTCTGGATAACTGGAATGACTCCAAATTGTACTAAAAGTGAAGATGTGTGTCCTCCTGCCTCTCCCATACAGTAGGGACTGATTTATGGCTGGAGACCCCAATATGGGACAAGGAGAAAGGGGTCCTTTTTTTTCTTTCCCACTCCCTGAGGCCTCTTCTGGCTCCTCCAGGCAACATGGAGGGTGGGGTTTGGGACATCTGATCTCCCTGACACCCTAGACCCTGGTATTGGTTTCATCTGGTTTCAGCAAAGTTGAAGTTTAACTCTTTGTCTTGTGATTTACTCTGTGGATTTTTGAAGACCCTTGTGTTAGGGATCTTCCAACTGCAATTCCTTAGGGAATGGCTTATTTCTACTGCCTGGCTATGTGCCAATTCCTTCACCCCTTATAAATTCCTCCTTGCTATCACTGTACCTGGAGACTTTTGGACCAAAACTTCCAGCCAGATCTCTTTTGTGCATGGTCCATATATGCAGGGAAGATTCTCAGGCATTCACTACCTAGCCAATGCTAGAGTGTTGGCCATTTTTAGCACAGTGCCCCTTCTCTCCTGGCCAGCTGAGCAGTGAGCCAGCCCAGCCTCTTTTTTACCTGAAAACATTTTGGGTAGGGCACAATCACCAGCTCCATATGTTTGCCTCTAATTTCAGGGGCTCAGATAAAGCTCTCTGTAATGATTCTAGCTATAGGTATAGGATGAGAAGGACATGCTCCCATTTCCCACCTAAAGGTGAGCTGAGAAAACAATGTCACATCTAAAACTTCACCAAAACATCTTCCTTCTGAACTTTTTCAATCTGTTCCACTTAGAATGATAGCTTCACGGTTCAGCCATGTTGCAGCATGGCCAGAATTTCCTTTTTAAGGATGAATAACATTCCATTGTGTTTATAGGTTGTGTTTTGCTTATGCATTCATCTGTCAGTGGACAACTGGATTGCTCCCACCTCTTCGCTGTTGTGACTAATGCTGCTATGAACATCGATGCACAAAAACCTCTTTGTGATCTCCTTTCAATAATTTTATACCCTCAGGTACATATTAGACTCAGGTTGAAAAACTAGATTGTTTTGTCCATCTTTTCAATTCTTGCTGAGGTAGAGTAGCTCCTCACTTTGCAGTGGCCATGCCAAATATTGTATAATTTTGGATTTTCCGTATTTCAAAAGGTAGGAAAAATCCCATTTGGGCTTCTTGTTCTATAAATATCCTATATATGAAAGTTGTGCATAATAGAAAAGGTCCTTATATATGGACCTTTTTGTGACAATGCAGACTATGTGGGACCAGGCTGTCTGTTTACAGATATACACCTGTGTCTGTGATGCATTGACACAATCTCTGCAACATGCACATGTGTGCAGACATGTGTAACATGTATTTGTGCTGCATGTGCACACACAGAGCTCATCTGTAAACGCCAAGCAATTCATTTTTCCCAAGGCTCCACTAGCTCCAGTTTACAAAGCCTCCCTGGTAAGTGGTAGAAAGCAGAAGGTACCTGAATCCAGAAAGTGGGCCCTCAGCAGCCTGGGAAGGGAGAAGTACACACACTGTGGGAAGTAACAGGCACACTGTGAGGGAATCGTGAGCCAACACATTGTTCTTACCGTTCTCCATTAAGTAGTCCTAGAACAGTGATTTGACTTAGGAGTAAAGCAAAAAGCTTCTCTCTGGGCTTTGCCCCTTAGCTGAATGCAAGGAGAGAACACGAGAGGTTCCTGCCAAGAGTATCGCATTTATGAATCAAGGTCACTTCCCCTATCCTTGTACATGAACCACATGAGCAGCCCATGTGAGAAGTGCCTACCATGTGATTCATCCATTCTCGTGTCTGTGGTGTCACAGGGCAGTCAAAGCCAGTGCATCAAAGTCAATGTGTCTGGTGTGTGTGTGTGTGTGTGTGTGTGTGTGTGTGTCTGTGTGTGTGTCTGTGTGTGTGTGTGTTTGTGTTTAGGACCTCAGCAAGGGTAATCAGGGTACAAATGAGTGTCACTGGAATATATTTTCCTGGGGCACCAGAGGCTCAATTCTGTGCCAGTAAGTGGAGAAATCCAGGAGTCAGTGAAATATTGCCAGATGCCACAGCCACAGCAGCCCTGCCATAGCCCAGGAAGAAGTATCAGCTTAGTGGGGTGAGTGGGTGGAGTTTGCTGTCTGATTGTAATAAATTTGCTCTTCATTCTGCTGCATGTGATCCACAAAACCCAGCCTCCCAGGGATAAGCATTTGCACTTACACTGGCTTTTTTCCAGCAGACTCAGAAGCCCACACTGGCAGTCTGGACAAACAACATCCCTGTTAGTAAAGGCACTGGAGCTCTGGCTATTTGGCAAAGTGTTGAAGAGATCATGGCACAAATGGGAGAAGGATCCAGTTCTCCAGTGGGGGCAAGGTCATGGAGTTACCCAACAAACTCATTCAATAGATGCCTTGGAGGCAATGTCAAAAGTCATGCCTTTATCTATAGGAAAGTCTTGGTGTTATGAGTTGCAGTTATTTATGGATTCTCAAACGCCAGGACCTTGTGAGTCTTGGCTTCTTTGCAGATAAGCACACTGCATCCATTCTTGCATTCATTGGTCCATTGGTCAGAGAATCTTAACATGATTGACACTGGACTCTTGAAATACAGCAGTAAGGCAAGGTCTTTGCTGTCTTAGCTCTGACACGTTGTGGGGTAAATAGACAATGGAAAAGGTCAGTCAGTGATAAATATGGTGTGTCAGATGGTGAGATACTACATACAAAAGTTACCAAGGTAAGGAGTAGAGCATGAATATGACTCTGTGAAGAGAAGTAGGAAGGTCTCTCTAATAGGATGATTTATAAGTAGAGATGCGAAAGAATGAAGGAAGCATGCTGTGGATACATAACAGGAAGAGCATTCTGGGCAGAAGGAATGCAAAGACCCTGGGGCAGGAGTCTGCTAAGCTTGTTCAAAGAGCTACAGAAAGCTGGAGCAGAGGGGGCCAGTGAGAAAAGTTAAGGTCACAGAGGTAGCAGCATTAAATTATGTGGGCACTGTAGGCGTTGTAAGAACTTTGTTCTTAACAGAAATAAAAGGAGAAAAAAATAAAAGGAGAGGTGATTGTAGGTTTTGATTGAGAAAAGGACATGATCTTATTTACATTTTCAAAGGATCACTGTAGTTGGTGTTTACAGTATAAGTTGCTGAGAGGCAGGTTTAAGATTAAAAAACAGCAGGGAGACCACTTATCAAGCAGTAGCGATAATCTAACTGCAAAGTGTTGCGGCTTGGAACAAGATGGTAACGATGAAATGGAGTGGGTAGATTCTGGATATATTTCTAAGGCTAAATAGATGTGGTTCATTAATATAGTGAATGTGGGACATGAAAGAGAGAAGTGAAGGATGACTTCAGTGCTTGTGGTCTGAACATTTCATCATTTTTTTTTTTTTTTGTACCAGGGATCAAACTTGGGACCTTGAGCTTGCAAGGCAGGCAGTGGAACCACTAAGCTAAGTCCCTGGTCCTTGGTCTGAACAATTGGAAGTGAAAAGTTTATTTTGGATGTATTAAATTGGATCCATTTATTTGTTCAGTAAAATGTTGACTTGGGATCCGTATAGAGCATCAAATTGGAAGAAGAGGTTGAATCTTGATTTCAGGGATGAGATTTAGGATGAAGATATACATTTAGGAGTCATTGGTAGATTAATGGTATGTGAAGCTATGAATATAGCTGAGATCTCCTAGGGAATGAATGTAGCTAGAAATGAGAAGAAGTGATCAGGTGCGGTGACACACACCTGAGTTTCCAGCTACACAGGAGCCTGAGTCAGGAGGTTATCAAATTCAAGACTGGCTTGAACAATTTAGCAAGACTTTGTCTCAAAAATTAAATGGCAGGGATGTAGCTCAGTGGGAGAGTGCTTGCCTAGCATGTGCAAGACCCTGGCTGGGTTCAGTCCCCAGTCATACAGAAAAGAGCCAGAGACATGGAGGAGAACAAATGAGGAGAGGGAAGGAGGGGAGAAAGGAAAAGAAAGAAAAGAGAATAAAAAAGAGAAACCATCACTGAGTCCTGGGCACATTAGCATCTACAGGATAGGCAGATGAGGAGTGAAGGTGACATATATGTTGGTTCTAGGGAGGTACAAGGAGAAATCAAGAATTCAGGAGGAAAAGAACAATCACCTGCCACTGAATGTCAGGGACCCATGCCACTGAACATTAAGATGAGACCATTGGAATTAGCAATGGGGCGGGCATCGCCGGGTGGGGAAGGATCTTGACCTAGAAGACCAAATACAGGGTTTTCCTTTAAGAGTAAGAATTTCTGGCTCTTCAAACAAGTGCTCCATTAATTCAATTCAACAGGTGTTTATTTAGCACTTGTGATAACAAAAGCACAGATTTAACATTTATCAAGTATATATCGTGTACTAGGTATTGAGTTTCTTGTGAGAATCTTATACAATACTCAGTGTCTGCCATAAGACAATCATAAAATTGTTATTCCCATTTTCATAGGAAACCAGGTTATAACTCAGATTTTCCTATTTGTAAATCTGGATTGTTTTCTTTTCTTTTTAGTAAATCATGGCAAAAAGTCTCCACAAAAGATGAAATTTATCATCTTCACCGTATTAAAATGTATGTTTCAGTAATGTTGGGAATATTCCTTTTTTTCTGCAAATAGTCTCCAGAATGTTTTTATCTTGCAAAGCTGAAACTTTATGCTCATCAAATGACCTCTCATTCCCCATCCCTCCAGCCTGTAGCAACCACCATTCTACTTTCTGTCTCTATGAACTTGACTATTTTGTATACTTCATACAAATGGAATCATACAATTTTTGTCTTTTGTGACTGGCTGATATCATGTAGCCTATTATCTTCAAGATATGTGTTGTACCATGGGTTAA